TCCACAACCCCGAAGTAGTCATGCAAGCTGGTGACGATCCCAGTGAAGACGCGCTGCTTCTCCCCACCCTGCAAGAACAAAGGGGGTTAAAAGTAGCAGAAGAGGAACCTGAACAAAATCCCTCCTGGCCTCAGGGTCTCAGCTCCACCCAGAGCCAGGCTCAGAACCCTGCATCAGGGTGCACACAGCCCACACCTGTGCACCCAGCACTTCACGAGGCTGAGGCAGGAGGACTGCAATTTCAAACCCAACCTGAGCAACTCAGTGATTCAGGAAGACCCTGCCTCAAAATTTAAAAAGGACTAGGGATGTAGCCCTATATGAACACCTATATTCAATCCCAAGGACTGGGGAAAAATCAAAGGCCCTGACTGTTGAGGGGAGGGCTAGTTCTTGGCTTGCAAGATTTTTCTAGGGTGGTCAATTCTGTATTCCCAAGAAGCATCCTAAAGACTGCCCAACCAGAGGAATGTCTAGTCACCCCCCCCCCAGCCTATCAGGACAGGGGTCAGGAATGCCAACCACTGTAACATAAGAAATGAAAGGGCATCAGGAATGTGCATGTGCAGAGACAGGGCCAGGGATGAAATTCCCTAGAATGAACACTCAACCTACCTGAAGGTGCCTGGCATTTTGCGACAGGTCTGTGGCCACAGGAGGAGTAAGCAAACCAGGGGGAGGACCGAGAAGAGATGTTGAAGCGGCGCCTATGGGGACAGAGAAGCGATCTCCAGAAATGGCATCCACCTCCCTAAGCGCTACAGGCAGCCAAGAGGACACAGTAAGCCAGGGCCAAAGTGCTTCCAGCCAGGTCTTCCTCCCTGGCAAGCACTATGCTCATCTCATGTCCTAAGAATCCGCAGCAGCAAACCGCTCACCACCAGGGAAACCCCAGAAGCCACACTTCTGGACGCTTAATTCCAGCGCACACATCCCTGTGTGAGGCCACTCTGGGAAAAGCATGATCACCTGAGAAGTTGCGTCCCCCTGGAAGCGGGCTGATCCGCTGGCGCTTAAACTGGGACATTGGGAAGGCGGTCCGCTTTCAGGATCTTGGGGAAACCTTCAATCAGAAAAGAAAGAAGTTAACACCTCCTACGGAAGATTTTCACTTATCCCGTAAAAAGAGGAGAATCTCAAGGGTCTTAAGGGGAGATGGCGATGCGAACAAGATTGGCGAAACAGGAGAGTTAGAGAGGCTGGAAATGAAGTCAGAAATGTCATTGTTGCAGTCTGCTCTCAGAGAAGCCTGGCGGGTGACACTGACATGCTGCTTTACAGGGAAACAAGCTAGAGACCAGAGAGATCAGGAGATTTGCCCAGGCAGCAAAACCAGGTAGTGACAAATCGGGACTCACACTGAAGTATCCTAACAACTTAGGACCCCTCGACCCATCCCATGCCTCCCGCAGAGAGGTTAGAGAGTGGGGGCTGCAAAGAGCCCCGGTGACATTCATTCATTCAAAAACATCCGCCAAAACGTTCCAGACGGGCCTAGAAAAATGGAGAAGGCCGGTGGAGGCCCTGTCCCCCGGAAGCCCGGCCCGTTGTCGCCCGGACTGGCGGGTGAGAGCAGGGTTCTCCGAGCGGCCCAACGCCGATCGGCCCAGGGCCGCCCTCCTGCTCCCATTCCCGGTCCTCCATTCCGCCCCAGCAGCAGCCGGCGCGCCCTCCCGGTGCGGGCTGCCGTGGGGCCACCGTGGGAGGACGAAGGCGCGCGATTTCTCCTCCTCCCGCCCGCCCCCGGGGCCGAGGCCGTTGCCAGGGAGACGAGGCTCGCAGTCCGGAGGGGGCTCTGCCCCTTGTGTGTTCCAAGCATCTATGCCTCCCGACCCCCCCCCCAGCCCCTCGGCCGGAAGAGAGGAGAAGAGGCAACGAAGCTGCAGGGGGCCACCCAACCCACCTGCGGGCCAGGGCCGCGACACTGGGGGGACAAAGACACCCGGAACCACCAGAGCCGCTGCTGCCGCCACCACCGGAAGCGTCTCTCCGGAAGTGAGACCACTGGTCGGAAGCTGCCACCCTGCCGGATATAGTCCCTCCCTCGCCTCCACTGGTGTCTCCCTTCCCCCACGCCCGCCTGCCATCCCACTGCAACAGTGGAACGGAAGTGCGCCTTCCTGGATCGGATGCGCTGTCACCAGCCGCGCCTCACTGGTGTCCTTGCTTAAGTGTCCCAACACAAAAGTAGGCTTTGGAGCACTGGTTCCTGGTCCAAAGATAGCAGAAGCTGAACTCCGACACAAGGGGAGGGCGTACCACCCACACACCCGCCTTACTGTGGCAGCCCTCCAGCCTATAGCAGCAAGAGAACTAGCCTCACCAAACTGGAAGAGGGGCATGCCTGGTGAGCACCCTACCTAGGAAGCATTCTTCTGTGTGACTCAAGCCAGTGACCCCATCCCTATCCCTGTCTTTCCATTGACTATAACTGGTAACAACCCTGAGGAGCAAGCACATCAGGAATCTGTGCCCTCATTCTCAAATATGAGACCTAAGAGGCTTCAGCTAAATGACTTGGGACAGATCCTGCCAAGGAAGTGGGCTGATCTAGGCCCATTAACAATCCCACCCCAGCCCCCGGACCTGACCTCCCCATCCCCCTGCAATCCGGCCTCCCTCCACACCCATACCCTCCCCATTTCCTATATGCGTAACATCCACAGCACACTTGAAGACAGTTTCATCTCATTTTATCCTCATAACAAGTTTGTGAGGTAGGTAAGGCATTATCCCAAGTGGAAAGCCATGGCTCAAACGTTGAGACCTTGTCTAACAGCTATGTGGTACTAGCTTCAGGTTTCAGCTGTGACAGGTAAAAGCTACTTCGGAGCAGAGCCACTGACAGCTGACCCTGAAGGTTAGCCTGCTGTGCCCCATGTGGTCCCTGATCCTCCCCTGTTCCTCCCCATTCTTCCTACAGTCTCTCGGGGTTCCAGGTGCAAGGCTTTAATACAGAGGCAGCCAAGACAGCACTCTTCTTGGTGCTGGAGCTGCCAGTTCAGGCGCGAGGAGGAAGGCAGGACTCCAGATCCGGAACTGCCCTGTGTGGAATGAAGCCCAGCTCCATCCTTCCGGTTACCAGCCCTCTGGATGCGTGATGCCAGCAGGCATAGTTGGGGACAGCCATTACCCACCCTGATAGTCCCATACAGATGTATCATCATGCGTGACCACACATCTGCAACACGCTGAGCCCAGACACATTCTCTTGCCAGGACCATTGAGACATGATAAATAAGACTGTTCGTGTTGGCTGGGCCCAGGGATTTCTATCGGGGAAAAGAGCTCTGAAGCTGCCAGGCCCTGGAACCTCTCCAGGAATTAGGGCTCCTCTGCCACAGTGCTCAGGTGAGACACACAGTCCTCGCCTTGGAGAAGGGCACACATCAGTAGCTTTTCCTGGCAGTGCCAAGAAGCCGCAATAGGGGAAAAGATAAGGAAGACTCCGCAGCAAATCCCCTTTGCCAGAGCCACCAGCTGCGCCAAGGCCTCAGCATACAGAAAGGTTTTTTGCTCGTTGTTTCTTAACCACTAACGATGGCTTCAAAGTCTTCCTTTGGGGGTGGCACTGAGGACTTCCAGGGAGGTCCCTGGACTCAGTTCTGTGGAAAAGAAAAGCAGTCTTCAGGCCCACGAAGGAATGGCTCCAGAGTTGGCAGAGTGTTGCTTAGCTGTCCTGGGAAGCCTGGAGATGTTAAATGGTGCTTCTTCCTCTACAGAATTAGGCACCGCAAGGAGTACGACGGACCTTACCAAAAGTGAAACCCTGCCTGGGCTTTTACCTTGTTCCCCCCACAAACCCAGGGAGCTGATTTAATGTAATTTAATTTCAGCAGGTGCCCAGTTAGCTCAGTCAGTAGAGGGTGAGACTCTTAATTTAATTTCAGCATGAAGGGAGAAGGGATTACAGTGAGATTTCCCACAATCTGGTCCTGGCTGCCACCAAGTCACTCAGTAGCTTTGAGAAAGCCACAGCCTCCAATCCCACCCAGGCCCCAGCCGCTGTATCTGTAAATCGGGCATTTTAGCAACATTCTCTCCTCCCAGCACCCCCCCCAATACATCTTTCAAGTTTTTTTTTTTTTTTGGAGGAGGCAGGGGCAGAACCAGGGATTGAACTCAGGCCCTTGTGCTTGCCAGGAAAGCACTTATTCTACTGAGCCATCTCCCCCGCCCCTTTCAAGTTTCATAGGGACAAAAATGACAACTGGCAGGACAATCTCAGCGTTCTATTTTACCAGTCTCCTCCCTGTTCTGGGCTGGGCACAGGGCTCACCTGGGACCACAAGCACCAGGAAGGACCGAGGGCTCAGGGTGTCCAGAGCTCCTCCAGTGGATCCGGTTGAGCAGGACCTTGATCTTGTCCCAATGGGAGGGATCCTGGGGGGCAGATGGTAAGGGGTCATCAGAGCCCCTCTGTACACATATGTCCCCCACCAAGCCCCCCCAGGCACAGTTAACAGGGGTCACGTCATCTCCCCAAAGTTTCTAGCTTCAGGGTGCCCACCACCCCACCATTCCCTAATGTTTCACATGCCCCAAATATGCCCATCAGTACTTTGTGTCCCTGTGAGGGCGGAAAGCTGTCAGTTGGTTCCACTGGGGCCTCTGGCAGTCGGGGAGGGTTGGCACTGAGCATCCCAACCTTCGAGCCTGTGGTTGCCTCTGTCCCTTCAGAAAGAGAATCAGGTTACCTGGGACCAGGAACAAGAAGTCATCCCCTCACGCTTTGGCTCAAGGCCTGTACTGGTGGGACCCTGGGAAGACGCCTGAGGTAGGTGAGACACAGAGGAAGACAGAGCTGCCCCTCAGCGGGACATGGTGGTGCATCCCCATAATCACAGCACTCAGGAGGCTGAGGCAGGACTGCTCCAAGTCAAGACCAGCCTGAGCTACATGTGAGACACCATCTTAAAAAAATTGCCCCTCACCTGTCTCTTTTGGGCTTAGCAGCTCCTTTGACTTCCATACCACACTGCCTGGGGCAGATGAAAGGGAAGGTGAGGGGGCTAGGGCTGGCTTCTCCTCTTCTGGCTCCTAGAACAGGAGAGATGGGGCAGTCAGGGCCTCGCAGCACAGCTGTGATGGCTCCAGAAGCAGTGACAGTTCTGGGGTCCTGCCCTTCTGTCTCCTCCCCCTGCTGGCCTGCTGCCCTGCCTAGGGGCTCGCTCACCTCTGGGGCCCTCTGGGTCTGCAGCTGCAAGTAGAGCTGCTGCAGTCTCGCCATCTGCTCCAGCACCAGGCACAGGTGCTCCAGGTAGCGAAGTCCTTGCCCTGGGAGGCAGGCCCAGGCTCTGGGTACCACTGCCACCTGGGGGACACAGCAAGTAGCTCATGGGGTGGAGGGGGCAGGGGACCCAAACCTGCCCAGCTCTCCCATGAACGTGGCCACAGCTGGGAGTGGCAAAAGCAGACACACAACCATCCATTAGGGGCAAAGAAAGCCCCCACCCTGAGAGAGCTGCAGGGAGAATGAGGGCAGGTGGGGGCCCCCAGCAGTCCTAGATGACCCCACCATCTCCACCCCATGCTTCCCCCTGCCCCAGGTCTGCACTCACCACCTCTGCCTCCACTTCTGGCTCAGCATCTGCCTCGGTGGGCTCCTGTCTGGCTCCCAGCAGGGGCAGAGCACACCCAGGCCTGGTGCTCGGTGCCAGTGGTGGCCAGGCACAGTGCTGTGCAGACAAGTGGGGAGGCGCCTGGGACCGCTTCAGAACCTGCTCCAACTTGCGGCTGGCCAGCAGCTGGCCCAGCTGGCCAGTGGGCTCCGGGGCAGCAAGGGCTGAGGGCTCAGGGTTCCCTGAGGGCTCCATGTTCAGGAAGTCCTGAGAAAGTCCTGGGACGGTTGCTGGGGGGCTATCCTCCGCCACCATCTCCACCCCAGAGTCTCGGGAGGCCAGCTTGGGAAGCAGCACCTGCCTCTCAAGCCGCCCTGGCTCGCCCTCTCCTGGGAGGGCCCACATGCACTCACAAGCCAAGTCTGGGATCCGTCTATAGGTACTGGTGACCCCAGGCACAATGCAGCCATGTGCCAGGGCCTTGGCAGCCCTGTCTGCAAAGAGAGCTGATGTCAGTTAGGCAAGGCAATCTGTCCTCAATGCTCCTGGTATTCCTGGCATCTGGCAGCATTCCCCTGAGAGGGGCACCCTTAGCCAGCCAAAGCCCCATGCCCACAGGGCTCCAGCCCTACTTCAGAGATTCCTGAGTGGCAAACTTCAGTGTGGTAAGCATAGCCCTTGGCCATCCTCCTTAGATACCCTAGGACCTCTGACAGTCAAGTATGCACGTGCGCGTGCATGCACACACACACACACACACACACACACACACACACCATCTTCTAATTGGAGAACCCTTTCCCCAGGAGAAAATTGGACTTTCTGTAGGGGAGAAGGGACAAAGCATGAAGCCTGAGATCTAGCTGTTGGGGGGGGGGTCCTGAGGCACCAGATGAAGTCTATCTTGGGGTTCATAGAAAGGCAATGAAAATAGCAGCAGCTACAGGTGGAGGTGCAGCGCACAGGAGGCTGAGGCAGGAGGATCTCAAGTACCAGGCCAGCCTGGGAAATTTAATGAGACCTCAACCAGAAATAAGATTTTAAAAGGGCTAGGATGTAGCTTAGCTCCCTGGGGTTAATCGCAAAATCAGAGAGAGAGAGAGAGAGAGAGAGAGAGAGAGAGAGAGAGAGAGAGAGAGATGGACGGACGGACGGACAGACAGACAGACAGACACAGAGAGAGGCAGCTAGGACCATTTGAGTCTTTTGTTCCTTGAGAGTGAAGATAGAAATAGTGAAGATTTTGTGAAGAATTTAAAAGAAAAAACTTCAGCGAAAGAAAGTAAGCATCCACATCCGTGCCTAGTCGCCTCTTGTGGTCCCGTAGTCCCAATGGAAAGAAGCAGAGGCAGAGACTGCCCCTGGGGAGCCGGACGCCCCCCCACCTTCCGCAAGACTTGGAGCCCGAAGGGGTCGCCGCCCGAGGGTCTTAGGGATGCGAGGCTGGGGCAGGGGCGCAGGAGGCGCGCGTAGTGGGCGAAGCGAGGACCCCCTGGTGGGGCGGAATGCAGGAAAGGGGACCTGGCGGAAGTGGGGCGACTCACCCTGGCCGCCGAGAGGCTCCACGGCGAAGAATCGGCGCCGGCCCAGCATGGCCGCTCCCCGCCCGCGCGTGCCCGGTCCCGCGCGTTCCCGCCGTGTCCCCGCCCCGCTGGACGCGCCGGTCCCCGCGGCGATCCGGCCTGACCGCAGGTGCGCGGGCGGGCGCCGGAGAGAGCACCACCGGGGCGCGGGGCGGGGCGACCCCCGCCCTACCAGGCTCCAGCGGAGCCTTCCTGGGGGGCGGCGCGCCCCGCCCCGGGAGCTGTCACGGATGGGCCCCACCGCAGGCGGTTCTGCGGTGTCCCAGAGCAGGGATTCAGCTGGGTGCGAGCGGAGCCTGGCCCCACGCCCAGTAGCAATAGGGCACCGTGCCGGCAGAGGGCGCCCCCAGCTGTCCCGGCGCCGAGGAGGGGGTCGCGGTCCGGGAATCCTCTGCAGCGGCCGGGCGCTCTGTCGGAACCCTACCCTGCTCACACTTCCTTCTAGTCGGGATGCCCGGAGAGGTTAGGACTTGGGGACTGGGAAGAGGGGAGTTGCTCTCGTGTCCCCACCCCACGCCTCTCGGTCAATGGGATTCCATCCCTATCCCCCCCATCGTAAGGACAGCGGGTGAGGGCGACAGCCTGGCGACCTGATGGGAGCTGGCAGACCCTAAGAAAGCCTTCCCTCTGGAGGGAGGGACAGAAAAAATCGCGGTAGGACCCGACTCCCGGGGGCAGACAAGGGAGCAGGCGGACTTGCAGAGGCGCCCCTGGCCCCCGGGGAGGGGCGGGAGCCACAGCTGCGGGAAGAAGGAGCTGCCTCTGAGCCCACCGAGGATCAGTTTTCACTTTTAAGATCGGGAAACTGAGGCCTACAACCAAGCCCTCAGACGCCAATGACAGCCAAGTCCCCTAATTTAACATCGTCTGCCCTGTCTCAGTGCCCTAATGTGCAGAGCCCAGGAAGATATGGGCACCAGACTCCCGCCCAGCGGGTGGAGCCTGCCCTCCCGGGCGAGCGCGTGGGAGGTAAAGGGAAGGAGCCCTTCGCCACATCGCGCCAGAATCTCGAGAATGTGGGGGCCGGATTCCAAGCAGTCTCCGCGGTAACTCTGGGGCAGGAATGCCTCTGGAAAAGGAAGCCAGTCAGCTGGAATGCAGTGTCTCAGCACAAAGCGTTGTGTGTGGCTCAGAGAACCCCCACACCCCCTACACGCGCCTCTCTGTGCTGTGGCCCCATCGCGTACTGGGCGCTGGGAGCAGCCCCGCCCTCCTGGAGCCAGGTTTGGGGCGCTCCCCTCCTGTGCCAGTAAGGCCACCCCAAGCTGAACAGCCATTAGAATTCCCAGGACTTCCGTGGGCTGGGCAGAGTCATCGAGAGCCCGGCCGGCGGAGCCCACGGCCCCTCCACCTCCATCGAGGAAGCCCCGCTTCAGGAAGTTCGCTTCCTGCAAGCTCAGCGCAAAACTGGGCCCTGGGGGAGGAAAGGCAAAGCCAAGAGGCTGGAGCAGCTGCTGCCAGGCTGGGGCAGCCAGGAGGGGCCCGCTGACCTCTGGCCCTGGCCAGCAGTGGCGGGGCTGTGCCTGGAAGTCTAGCTCTGGCAACAAAGGGGCAGCCCCTCCCCACGCCACCCCACCCCCGTCCCCACTCCCAGCAAGCCTGCAGGGAGGCTCTGGTTCGGTTCCTGGCCCCTAGCCAGACTGGCTAGGAGTCCTGGGACCCGAATCCTAACGTCCCTGTCCTGTTTCTTCATCTGTAACACGAGGGTGCTGGAGCTGCGAGGAGGCCGTGAGGGCACTGAAATGTCCCCAGAATAACTGAAGTGCTCCCGGCCCTCAGCCATTATCCCCCGTGCTATTCTGAGAACTTGTTTCCCAGCTGTGTCCAAAAGGGGTCCTATGGATGCTCTCTCCTCGGCCACTTCGCAACAAGCCTGTCATTTCTGAACTCCTCCAGGATGCAGGAAGCACACAGCGCAGGTTCAGAGGGAGTGGCGTCACGGCCCCCTGGAGCGGAGCGGGCGGGGGACGAGGGCGTGGTGGGAGCCAGAGCACGCCCCCAACCACGCCTGCCGACAGCCGGGCTCCGCCAATGCAGCCATCCCCCGAGGAGTTCGCTGCCAACGCTGAGCTGGCTGTGTGCCCCAGAGAACTTGCCCATGCAAACCCTCAAAGTCCACAGGTGAGTTTTCGCTCTGACCTGTTCCGCCTTCGATGGCCATACCCTCTTCCCAGCTGCTCGCTCCGCCCACTGTCCTCCTCCACTCCTGGGACTCCGCTGGTGACTGACTCGTTATGGGGGAGGGGTCTTATTTCATCAGTAGCCCAACCCATCCTTCCCAGTTGTCACTTCCTTGCTTGACATTTTCAGTGTCCCCAGGGCCCGAAGTAAAAGACCAAACCTCAGCTGGCATCTGGGACTCCCTCATAGCGTCAGCTTTTGGAAGGTTCTCAAGAGCCTTCTGGGTGCTCCAGACCTGCCCTGGACCCCAATGGTCCAGGATGGTGGCAGCCTCAGCTTTACTCTCACAGGACCATCAGAGCTGGCTTCAGAGGGTGCGGTCTCCCAGGGAGCTAGTGCTATCTGGGTGGATGAGGCTGCTTTCCCGCAGCCTTTGCTGTAAACTTCACTTTTTTTTTAGTTCAAGTTTTTTTTCTCTTTTTTACATTAGAAATGGCTCTCAGCCTTTCTCCCTCCTTTGCACAGATGGCCGCTGCTCGTGAGTCCCAAGACAGCCCTCAGAGCCCGCTGCTGGCCTCACCGTGTCTTTCGTGCCAGCTCCGTCCCCTGCTGCCCCTTGCCCATCATCTTCGTGGAAGCAAGAAAAGGGCTGTGCAACGCCTTCCCGCATCCCCACAGCTGTCAACGCAATTTCCTCTCCTGAGCACGCTCGCTGCCATGGGCGGCACTAAACACAAGGTGGCGCCAAGGAGGCCACACATTTCCCACCTGGGCCAAACCCCAGGGACTCCTGTGCCAGCCAGACTGCCTTGATCTTTTCTATAAAAATAAAAGCTGGTCGTTGGGCAGCCATCCAGGTAAAAGGTGACACGATGATATCAAGCTGTAAATAACCACAGGTGCCGGAGGTGACACCCCGGTCTGCGTCAAGATCCCTGCACCAAAGAGCCAGACAGCACTGGCTCCCTGGGAGACCGCACCCTCTGAAGCCAGCTCTGATGGTCCTGTGAGAGTAAAGCTGAGGCTGCTACCATCCTGGACCACTGGGGTCCAGGGCAGGTCTGGAGCACCCAGAAGGCTCTTGAGAACCTTCTAAAAGCCAGGTGTGGGGGTACACCGCTGTAATCCAGCACTTGGGAGGCTGAAGCAGGAGGACTGCATTGAATTGCAGGCCAGCCTGGGCTCCATAGTGAATTCAGAGCCAAAAGAAGTGAACTGCGAAGGAACACAGGAGACTCATTCTCTACCCAAGGGCCAGGGTGTGAGAGAACAGGAATCTGCTCGATTGTGTACACACATATACATATATTCATAGAGTTCGTGCCCAACATTTTACACAGTGAATACCATTGGCCTCTGGCCCACCCCTCTCCTTCTAGATGCTTCCATCTCCGTCCCACCCTGTACACAAAGTATCAAATGTGGCAGCCACTTCATCCTGTGGCAAGGTGCCTCGTCCAGGGAAAGGCTGGGACAGTGGGGCTCCCCCTGGCCCCCAAAGCCCCAGAAGGGCCCCAGTCCTTGGCCTCATCCAGCAAGGACTAAGGGGTCTTGTGTCCCAAAACTTAGTTCACATAAGAGCCACCCCCCCACTGCCCCCTTCCCTGCCTGCCGGCTCTCCACAGAGCCGTGCCCAGGGTGTCCCAGGCTCAGGACCGAGAGCTGAGGGCAGAAGGCGCTGAGTAGCGCTGGCGGGCGTGCTTCTCACAGTACAGCTCGTCGCCCACCCAGAAGTGGCCACGCATCTTCAGGTTCAGCCCGCAGTCTGCACAGGTGTAGCATCCGGGGTGGCGGTACCGGCCTTCCTGGATACGTACAGCCTGGTTCCTACAGGCATGAGAGGATGGATGAATGGACAGGGACAGGGCACAAGGCCATTGCTCCAGGGAGCCTGGTCTCCAGGCAGTTGGGGCCTGGGTCACACCGACCTGTTCAGAGACCTGACTCCCCGGGCCTGCCTCAGGAATCTCACTTCAACAGTCTCAAACACACACATACAAAACCAAACACACCTGTGCATCCCCACACACACAGAATACACCTATATACACACCCCACTGGGATCCCTGACCAACAATAAAAAAGTCACTCTTCCCCCACACAAAGGTGGATAAACATCCAGCACCCTGGGCTCTCAGGAGAGCTGTGGTTGTCAGTGTGGCCCCAGGAGCAAGACCACCAGCACACACATTCAGGAGGCAGCCAGATGTGCACACGCCAGGCCTGAGGGTTCCTGAGGCAGGGACCCACTTGCAGTGACTTCCTGTCTCTGCACACAGTGGGGCTGGGTCTTTGCCCCTTCTTGAGCCGAAGCCCATCCAGGTGAAGGGTTTGCCTGCAGTAAGTCACCTGACCCTCAGTCAAAGCTTGGAACATTTACCTGAGGGGACCAGCAATCTTGCAGAGGCCACACCCTATTTTGATGCCACCCACTGCGAGAATAAACCTACCCTGCAAGCCCAGCCTACTCCGTGGGCCAAGGGAGGGAAAGAGGAAGACTGTCCAGGAGGGGCTTTGTTTAGGGGCAGATTTGGAAGGCCTGGAGGTTGCAGGGGAGAAACCACAATCAGCAGCATTTCTCATTCCCCTGGGGAGAGGAGCGGAAGTGGGGAGGAGTAGAGGAGGAGGTAGTCAGGAAGTACCAGCAGCAGTGTTCAAAGGCTGCAAACAGCCTAAACCCAGCCACCTTGTGTTGCCTCCAGGGTCCCAGACACCCAGCTCAGCTGTCAGAGGGAACTCTGCCCCAGTCCTGTTCCTGTACCCCACACTCACATGATGCTGGTGCTGCACTTCTCACAGGTGTGGAGCTTGGGTGGGGTGGCAAGGGCCCTGGAGGTGGGCAGGGAAGACTGAGGGCTCAGTGAGCTGGGCACGATGGCAGGCGTGCCACCTGTATGGGGGGGGAGACAGACACACCTGAGCTCAGCCACCCGCAGCAGCCGTCTGTGTTTACTGATGCCAGACATGGACCCTCCTGGGCCACTCCCAGACTGCTTGCAGAAGAATGACGCAGACACAGACCTCTGCAGTACCAGCAGGCATGGATGACAGCAGGGAGGAGGGCTGAGGATGGCCAGCCAGGCCCTTGGATGAGGCTGCTGGAGGGCCACAGAGCAGGACCAGGCCAAGCCTGCCCCTCTAGGGCACTGGGAGCATCTGTACCGAGTGCATGCTTGTGACCCAGGCACGATGCCATCAATAGAAATCAATCCTGGTGGTCCCAGCACCAGGAGCCTCTGTCCCATCTTCAAAGGGCTTTTGTATGTGTCACTGCACACGAGCCATTCTGCCCTGCCTTTTCTCTCCTGTCTGCCTTTTCTGCTAGTCTTGGTTGCTCAAAGAATAGCCTGCTTCCCACGGCAGGGGGCTGGCCAGGCCTGTCTGCCCCAACAGAGTTCCTCGGGGGCAGGGTGGAACAGTGGCCACTTCCCATCCCGTGCTGGACACTTCTGCTTCATCGGCAGGCACATCCGTATTTATAAAATGGATAACTGTGACCATTCATGGCCTGCATTGCTAACTGTGGCATCTTACCAGTCGGGAGTGTCTAACCTACATTCCTGGGCCAGGGGTCTCCTTGGCCTCGCCCCTGAAGCCCTGGCCAGGCTGTTCTCTGTTGCCCACTCCCAGAAGTCAGCTGGCTGCCAAGTTCCTCTGTGCTCCCGGGCCCATCTTAACGCCATTTGCTAAAGTAGATCTTGTTTCAGGGCCCAATTAGAACCCCTCCCTCCCAGGTCGCATCCCACCCTGAGTCCTGTCTTGGTGCCAGCCAGCATGGCCAGTCACCTTCTGGGCATGCACCTCCTACCGAAGACTGAAAGCTGCTCCAGGTCAGGCACCGTGGTCACCAGGCACGTAGGAAACACCCCTCCCCCAGCCTCCCTCCCGCAGAGCCCGGGGCCTCACCTCTCTCCTCCGCCTCCAGGGCTTCCTGCAGGAGCCGAAAAGAGCTGGACTGACGCGGGGCGGCCCGCCCCTCACGGTTTTCCTGCAGCATCTTGAACACTTCAGAGTCCTCCTCCAGCTGGAGGCTCCCGGCTTCAGAGTTGAGGCTGCTGCAGGGGGAGGCAGCCAGGAATATGGGTCCAGAGCAAGCGCCCCAGCCAGGGAGAAGAGGACCCGGCGGCCTGGGCCTGGGCTAGGAGGACGGGGATCCATCCCCCCCCCCCAAGGGGAAGCCCGCAGTCCCCCTTTGCCCCTCCCCGGCCCTTCTGGAGTCCCCCCTCTCCTCTGTGCACCCCGATCCGCAGGCCCCACCCGTACCTGATCCTAGGGCTGGAGCACCTAGGGGACAGCGCCCTCACAGCCAAGTCACCCTCGCGGCCCTGGCCCGCCTGTGGGAGGAAGGCGGTGGGGCGGAGTCAGCGGCGGCCCCGGCCGTGGCCCAGGCACAGCTTCCCGGCTCCCACCAGGGGGCGCCCGACCCTCGTTGCCCCCAGACCCGCCTTGGGGTGTTCAGAGCCGGGCACCAGGGAGGCCTGGCGCAGAACAGAACAGAGGCCACTCCCAGGGATGGAGTGCTGCCAGAGGACTGGGCAAGGGGCGGATGGAGGCCAGCTGGAGGCCAGCCCTCCTCGTTGCATGTTCTCGAAGAGGTGCGCACTGGGCCGGCTCCGATATGCGGAGGAGCCGGGAAGGAGCCTGCGATGGTTCTGCCGCGAGGCCAAGGGAAAGCTGTGTGCCAGCCCCGCTCCTCTTCTAGAATGGAGCTCCTGGGATGCCTTCTCCCTAGCCCAGGAGGTCGTTCTGGGCTTTGGGTAACCCTCCATCCTGAGGCCACACCCTGGCCCCAGGGGCTCTGTTGTGTAGGGCCGTGGCATTTGCTCTCCAATTAGAAATCTCACCTTGCGCAACTGTGGATCTGGTAGTGAAACTAGTTTCCTTGTAAGTGTGCTCCTTAACCTAACGCCACTAAGTGAGGGGCCCCAACGTCATGGCTGTACTCCTGGAATTCTAGCTCTGGGAGGCTGAGGCAAGAAGATCACAGGGCAATCTAGCAACTTAAGTGAGACCCTGTGTCTGTCTGTCTGCCTGTCTGCCTGTCTGTCTGTGTCTGTGTCTGTGTCTGTGTCTGTCTCTGTCTCTGTCTCTCTGTCTCTGTCTGTCTGTCTCTGTCTCTCTCTCTCTCCAGAAATCGAACTCAGTGTCTCATGTTTGCTAGGGAGGTGCTGCACCATTGAGCTACATCCCTGGCCCTAGACCCTGTCTTAAAATAAATAGACAAGTAAAAATTGAACACTAGGCCCAAGTTGGTCTCAAACTCAGTGTTCCTCCTGCTCAGTTTGCTGACTGCTAGGATTACAGGCATGTGGCCACCATACCCAGCTTAAGAATGAAGAACTTTTTTTTAAATGAACTTTTTAAAAAGCTGGAGCTGTACTTCAGTGTAAAGGCCCTGGGTGCAGTCCACAATGTCACCAAAAATATAACAAATTCATGCATGAACTATGGATTCACACGAAGAGCTGTGTATATCTTTCAGCCAAAAGTGAAAACTTTGGAGTCCCAAGATGAATCCCAAGACCTCCCCCACCAGCCCTGCCTAGCAAGGCTCCCATCACCCCTCCGCTCCTGCATTCTGTGGTACAAGGCCCTACATAAGGGGGCCTAGGGGCAGGAGGACATAGTGGCTTGTCCTGGCAATAAGGAGAGGTGTTTCCTCCCAGGGACATTGGCTCCATGAGGCATCCCCTGCTGGAATGAGTTGTGGCTCCCAGAGGGCACCCTGGGCTGGTGACATCTTGCAGCCCCTGTTCTCTAAGGCTTTGGCCAGCCAGCAACCCACAGCAGAGCCGGGCACCTCTGCCACTCTAGCCACAGCTCTTCCCTGGGAGGTGGGTGTGCTCAAAACTCTCCCCTGGAGAGTGGCTGCCTCTCTCCTTCCAGCCCAGGCAGCTGGGGCCCAGACCTGACCCTTCATCTCCAAGTGCAGGAGGTGGCCCTGCTCTGCCCTCTAAGACCTGTCTGCAGGGAAGTCCTCCAGGGAACTTGGGATGCCGTGAGGGACATGACAAGTAGGGAAGTGGGAGGGGGGTTGGGAGTTGTGGGGGCATTGGGAGAAATTCTGCAGTTCAGTCAATTTAGGAAATTATTCTGGGCTGGGAACATAGCTCAGCCGCATAAGTACCTGCCTGGCAAGCACAAGGTCCTAAGTTCTATCCCAGGTACCAAAAAAAAAAAAAAAAAAAAAAAAAAAATTATTCTGATCAAATATCAAATGTGCTTCTTTCTCACAGCCTTCAAGCCTCTGAGACACTTAAGTGCAGTGGTTTACAAGAGGGACATGGGACATGGACCTTTTGCCTCCTGCATCCATCCCACACTCTTGGGCTAGGAATTCCTGTTTGTCCACAAATGCATCCCCAGAGCCCAGCGGGTGCCAGACACGAAGCAGCTGTTTCATAAATATTTGCCAGCGGAATTACAGAAGTCTTTAGGGTCAAAGGAGGGAACTCCGCGCCTCCTCTGGTCTGAGGCTAGGAGAGAGGAAGGAGGGCCTGGCCCAGCCCCCCAGCCCAAGAACCCCCTCTCATGGGTGGACTTGTTCAAACATCAGTTGCTGTCTGACTCCCCATGCCCCTTTCAGCAAATCTAGGTTGGGCCTGAGAATCTTCATTTCTAACAGATTCCCAGATATTGAAGACAGTTTAAGAACTACCATGTGTGGTGGTACCTGCTTGTAATCCCAGCACCTACGAGGCTGAGAAAGGAGGATTGCTGTGAGTTTGAGGCCAGCCTGGGCCCCATGGTGAATTTAAAGTCAGCCTCAACTATATAGCAAGTTCTTGTCTCAAAAAGAAAAAAAAAAAAAGAGCCTCTCCCTGGGCCACCTACATACCCATAGCCCCCCTTTGCCAGGGTCAGGGGCTTTTCCTGTAGTGCCCCTCACGGGGCTGGAGGAAGGCAGGTAGAAGGGCACAGGACACACTAGACTTCTAGTCATAGACCAAGTTCACTCCCAGCCTGCCTGGGACCACAGCCCAGGGGCTCCCCAGGGCAGCCCTTGCAGGCCTCTCTCAGACCAAGTCCCCTTCCTCCTCCCCACACCACTCTCATCCGAACCCCACCCCTTCTGCCCTTTGTGGCCAGCAGAATTCCTGATGAAGCCTTCTCAGGCCACCCAGCCCACGTTTCTCTCTCCCCTTCCGACAGGCCTCCCGCTTTTGTAATTAGTACCACACTGCCAGGCCCGAATGGTTCCAAAGCCATTTCACAGGTTCCACTTATCTGACAACTGCATCCTACATGGTTAAAGAGAGGCATCTCACAGAGCACATCACAGTGCCTACAATGTCCACCCTGCTGGTCCCCAGGGGCCCCCTCTGTGCAGCCCCCCAGGCCCTGACCCACCCTCTCTGGAGCCCCAGTCCCTCAGCCCCTCTCCCGCCTACCCCCAAATGCTCTGCTCCCTGGAATGCAGCACCAACCCGAGGTGAGTCCAGCAGCTGGGCCTCATCCCCTTCGCCCCTAAGGCCAGACACGCCCCCAGCAGCTGCAGTCAGGGCTGCTGACTGCCTCTCCCTCCCCCCTGCCCTCAGGGAGGAGAAATGCCACTGGGGTTAGGCTGTCACCAGTGGGCCTAGGGACCTGGGTGGATGAGGGCCCAGCAGAGCAGGGGGACAGAGGGATGGAGCAAGCCACCCTGGACTGTCCGCAGTCCTCGAGGGCTCCAGGCTGAGTCAGGAAGACAGAGGTCGCAGGACAGGAGTCAGGGGCTCCAAAGGGGAGGAATGTGTATGAGAGACGCAGCCAGGGTCCAGAGGGAACCATCCAACAACAGCAGCAAAACTATGTCAGTCCCAGCCCAAGAGAAACACACTGGGAAGGGTGGAAGCCAGCGGGAGGGAGGCGGCCGGCTGGGAAGGAGCCCACACTCCCTGTCACTAGGAGATGGCCCTGCAGGTGGCACCAGCTGCCTGCTGCCCCAGGGACACCACCAGAGCCTGCAAATCAGGGCATCCCTCTCCGTCCCTGGGGAGCCTCACCTGGCGGCCTGTGGGGCGGCTCCCAGGGGACAGGCAGGACAAGCGCTCCACAGCAGTGCCAGGGAGGGCAGCCGAGTAGGTCAGGCTCTGGAAGCTGAAATGGGCAGATGGCAGTGTGGCCCCACCCAGTCCACAGGATAGGGCCCCTGGTTCCTCTGACCACAGCTGGTAACTCAGTCTGGAGACACTGCTGCTCACCTGTGGCCAATAGGTGCCTCTCTGGTTTGGCCCAGGGGGCTGCTGGGAGGCGGCGTGAAGGGGCTGCTTGGCCGGGGGCTGAGGGAGGCTGGGCTGGAGTAGGAGGACCACAGGGAGGACTGGCTGTCAGGGCGTGTTCTCAGGGAGCCCTGTGGGGAGAGAGAGAGCCTGCAGAAAGAGCTGGGCTGGTGCCCCTCCACCCACCCCAGCCATAGACCTCATGGTGGCAGGGCTCCAGGCTCCCAGCTGGTGGCACCAGCTTACCTGGAAGCGAGTGGCCAGCACTTCTAAGGAGCCATCGCCATTGGTCTGCCCAGGAGAGGCAGCCTGAGACCTGAGGAGACAACAAGGGTGAGGGGTGTCACACAGGTTCCAGCACCCCAGCCCCTCCACCCTGAGGGGCTGTCCTCAGAATTGGTTCTCAAGATTCTTGAAACACCCAGAGCACTGAAGCTGCACTGTCAACTTGATCTTTCTGTGTGTGTTGTGTGAGGATTTTTTAAGACAAGGCCTCGCTACATAGTTCAGGCTGGCCTTGAACTCACAGTGATCCTCCTGCCCCAGCCTCACAAGGGCTAGAACTACAGGAGTACACCATCATGCCCAGTTCATACTGTCAACTGTTACCTTTGCCAAATTCAAAACAAACAGCTATTATCCTAGACCATTTTTCAGTACTTTTGTGGTACTGGAGATCAAACAGGACCCTGCACTTGCCAGGCAGGAGCTTTTGCCGATGGGCTTTTCTCCCCAGCCCTATCAACACATTTTTAAAATAAGAACAAGCTGGGCAAAGTAGAGCACATCTGTGGGTTGTTTTGTTTTTGTTTTTGTTTGAGACAGGGTCTCACCATGCACCTCCAGCTGCCCTTAAGCTCACTGTGTAGCCCAGGCTGGCCTTGAATTTGTGGTGGTAATCCTCTTGCCTCAGCATCCTGAGTACTGGGATTATAGGTATGCACACCTGTAATTGTACACTCTGGGAGACTGAGGTGGGTGATGAGACCAGCCTGCATCACTTAATGACTTGGTGAGATGCTCCCTCAAAATAAGAAAATAAAAATGGTTGGGAATGTAGCTGAGTATGAAGGTCTTAAGTTCAGTACCTGGCGA